AAAATTGAAAAAGGAAGAAATATTGAAATTGTTTGGGAGAGATTCTTCTTCAAAATGAAATTCCTCAATTTTCATTGTAAAAGTAGCTATCAGTGTTGTATAAGCAGAAAAAGAATTTTCACTGATTCTTTTCTATTCCTTTCTGCTGTGTTTCTTCTCATTTGTTTCTTCTGAAGAACCCAGAAATGATGAGGTAATGCGACATCCAGGGATTCATTCAAAAGTTGCTAAATTTCCTTCTAATTTAAAATTTTTTTCGTTTTTAATTGTGAAAACATTCCTTTTTTATTCTTGAGGAAATGTGCGAGCAGACGATGATCATATTATTGTAAAAAAAGGAAGAATTTGGACTTGCGTGGGAGAGATTCTTCTTCAAAATGGAATTCCTCACTTTTAATTGGCGTAAAAATAGTTATCGGTACTGTATAAGTAGAAAAGGATTTTCACTGATTATTTTCTATTCCTGTCTGTGTTTTTTTTCATTTGTTTCTTCTGAAGAACACAGAAATGATAGGGTAATGCGAAATCCAGGGATTCATTCAAAAGTTGCTCAATTTCCTTGTAATTGAACGTTTTTTTCATTGTTAATTGTGAAGGACATTCTTTAATTTCTTGAGAAAATGTGCGAGCAGATGATCTTTCTCCAGAAGTCTGTTAAAAAGTAAGAAATGTTTCTTTTGTGGGAGAGGTTCTTCTTTAAAATGAATTCCTCAGTTTTTATTGGTGTGAAAATAGATATCGGTACTGTATCAGAATTTTCATTGATTAGGTTCTAATCCTGTCTTTTGTTTCTTTTTATTTGTTTCTTTGGAAGAACATAGAAATGGTTTAATAGGTAATGGGAAATCTGGGGACTTGTTCAAAAGTTGCTCAATTTTCCTGGAAAAAGCTTGTTCACAATACTATTCTTGAAAAATAAACATTCCTTATTTTCTTGAATTAGTGTTTTAAAAATATGATCTTCTTCAGAAATCTAATTTTATTCATTTCCCATTTTTTGCACATCATCTCCTTCAAATTGAATTCTTGAATGTTTTCTGGGGATGGGGTGGAAATAATTACACAAAAAAAAAAATTCGTCTGATTTTTTTTCTGAGGGCATATGCGTTTCTTCTGCTTTTGACTTTGAGAGAAAATATATACTGTATCTGTACGACATTTAATGCGGATTCCAGGGATTCATTCAAAATGTTTTCCATTTCTTTGTATCTAAGTTTCTTATTCCGTTTCCAATTGTAAGAAGCATTATTCCTAATGAAGTAGTTCTCGGGTTGTATGTGAATAAGAGAGACAATTTTCTTCCTCTGACAGTCGGACTAGTATCAACAAAAATTCAAGCTTTTAAAATGTTTTTTTTGTTTTTGCGGAACACTTCAACGAACTCATATTAAATTTTTTGGGTTTTTTTTTCTGACGAAAAGGACGATTTGCGGGACTTTCATTCAACCTATTTTCTCCTTTTACTGTTCAATTTATCTAGTTGCTCAATTTCACAACTTGGTCAATTTCTTTATGGTTGTTGGTGTTTTCATTCGTATTTTTGAAAGGTATGCCTTCTAATGTTGTCGTAGAGGTGAAAAAATAAGATCTTCTTTCTGCAACACTGAATTTCATTCGAAAAGAAAATCGAGCTTCAGGAAATTTCGGAATATTTTCTTCTCCGTCATTCCCATTTTTTTCCATTCTGAATTGTAAAAAATATGAACAGTATTAGTTTTACGGTAGAGTGTGAAGATAAAAAAAATATGATTTCCAAAATTTTGGGAGACACTCAGAACAAATTTCTCCAGTTTTCCGTTTCAGGTTGAAAAACTGCTTCTATAACCTTAATAGGGATTTATTTCTGAATGTTTTCCAAGCCTTTCTCAGCTCATTTTGCTTTTCTCTCTTCTAGAAGAAAATACATCCGAAAGTTGATGCAAAATACCGGGGTTCGTTCGAAAGTTGCTAAATTGCTTTATGCTTACGCCGTTTTCATGAAAAGCTTAGAGCAAATATGTGCTCGGAAAACTATATTGAATGAACTCATTTGAATGCGTGTTCGTTCTTGATATGATGATCTAAGAATCAATCCCATTCTCCTCCACCTTTTGGTATATGCTGTATGTTTTTCAGGGAAATCAGTGAGTCGTGTATAAAGGCCGCAATTTTCCTTGAAAGTGCACATTTTTGTGGCCTATGAGCACGTTTTTCCCTTCTCAAAATTACTGCTAGGAATGACGGCGTAGTCTTTTTTTTTGGCACGCTCTGCTGAACTTTTGCTTACATTTTTTGCTACCATTTTATTCCTGTTGCATTGGAAAAGGAATGTATGGAATTTAGGAAAAGACCTCTTTGGTGTGTCATCCTTCTTTTTTTTTTTTCTGTGGGCCAACATCTGCACAAGAGCTCTTCTTTGCTTGCCTGTTTTTGCTGACTCATTCATGAGAGCACGTTGATGTATTTTTTACTGCACAATTATATTTATCATTCGAAGACATTTATGTATACTTGTACAGTGGAGCCCTGCTTGACAAAATTTTTGCTCTCCGACAGAAGAAACCGAAGTTACACCAAATTTAACAAATTTGTTTCCAGCCAAAATCCCTCAGTTGACAACCAACATTTAGTTTAAAAAAATAATTAAATGGAAGTTATGCTACATATTGCAAAGAATTCATTTTTGCATTGAATGCAAATGCCTGGCTGTTGGTGCCTCCAAGTGTGTAATCTTGTCTTTTTCCAATTTCTATTGTTTATTTTTTTAACAGTGAAAATATTTTCTGTTGTTTGTGTTTTTTGTGTGTGGTTATTATTGCTTTGTGTCAGGAAGGACCGCTAATTGCTCGGATTGTATTGGGCACAAATGGCCACAATATAATTTGATGTCAAGTGTCCAAAAAAATAGAAATAAAACAAATAAATCAGTCTGGGACTGGACTGGGATTCCTATTGGAATTCCTACGTTAACAGAACTGTATTTCAGATAACAAATGGATAAATCAACGACTTCATGAGCTCAGGCTTGTAACAAGAATAACCTGATTAAGGCACAGTTCAACTGAATCTGACGATATAGTCTGAGGATGCTCCTTATATAATATTTGCAATAATTAACCTTCACAAGGTTTTACTTCCTTCAATGGCGGCAGGAAAAGTTATTGTCGAAGATGCTACGGTGCAAGGCACATCCTGTCACCGTAACAGGTACCAGGATGTGCCTGGCACTGCAATTTTGAGGAGGGGGGAATATTGTTTAAGTTTGTAGAATTTGAGTATTTTACTGTACCCGGCGTACATGCCCAACAGATTGAGTTGCCCATGAATTTGGAAAACAGCCTGCTATGGCACAAACAAAGTAATATGACACTCAGCTCAAGGATTTTTTACTCCCATTTTATCAGACTTGAAAGTGGCTTGGAAGTGTGCTCCTGACTTGTACAGAACATTTTCTTACAGAATACCGTTATGATTTTGCTAATTTTCTCCCATACATTTGTAGGAGAGTCAAAAGCCTAGTGACAAACATTTTGAGAAAGAAATTAATTCAGCTGAATCACTTGAGAAATTATCCATTATATGACAGTTTAAATTGTCATTTGGGTAAAAAAAAGGCCCATTGAATTCTTTAGCATTGAAGTCCAAAGGAAAATACTGTAGATTTTTTTGCGAATTTTTTCTGGAACCTAATTTTTCCAGAATAAACAAACATTTTGGGATATTGTATAAATCAGAGGGCAGCCCAATCAGGTGAGGAATCATCCATGATTTGCCTATTTAAAATGTTCACTTGGATGCAAAGAACTCATTAACTTCTTTAGCTTTGGAGTAAAAGGAAACATTAATTTTTTTTTACTAAGTTTCTCAGGGACCTATTTTTAGAAAAATGAACACTTTGAGATTTAAATCAGGGCAGCTCAATCAGATGAGAACTCATCCATCATTTGACTATTCAAAATTGCCACTTGATGGATGCAAAGAACCCATAAACTTCTTCATCATTGATGTCCAATAGAAAATTAAATTTTCCTCTGACAAAAGTTTTTTTTTTCTGGAACCTATTATGTTGGTCAACTGCTGATGGTTGACCTTTTGCATTTTTGTGTGCTTTGCAGGTTGAGCTGACTGGGAATAGCATTTTTGAGTACATACACCCTGGGGACCATGATGAGATGTACACAGTGCTGAATCCGCAGCCATCACCTCCACCGCCATCACCCATGCATCACCCACAGTTGCATATGTTGCAAGGTATAACGGCCATTTCCCCTACTTACTCATGTTTTTTTCTGTAATTTTTTTGTTTCTGCTTACTTGTATAATACAGAGGGAGGGTGTTTTTTTTATCTACTTATATCATCAGCAGAGGGTGAGAGATTAGGAGGGGTTTTTTTTGTTGGAGTTGCCCAGCCGCCATGTTTGATGTTTATTGATTATTTTGTGCCACCCCTGGTGTTCCTGGTGTGTTTTAGGAAGTTTGAAGTAGAAAAACCCCGTGCGAAGGTTCTTTTTTGATTGCTTGAAGCGCATGTTGATATTTTTTAAAAAGAAGCTGTTTAAATCATCACTGATGGATTATCCATACAATCATTCAAAGCATTCATTTGCTTCAATTTTTTCACAATATATGCATTTGTTAATTTCTATATTTATTTTGCTGTGATTCTTAATGAGTGCTAGAAAATAAGAAAGAAATGATTCATGTGGGAAAGTTTGAATGAGAATTAAAGTTACCTTATTTTTTTTATTTATGTTTTAGGTAAAATATAAATAAATGAATAAATAAATTGTCTGTCCAAGGACTGAAAATTCCTCTGTACAGGTTTTTTTCTTCAAGTGAATAACTACTGTATTAAAACGCTCTGTACCAATCATCATTAGTTGATTGAAATTCGAATTCCTTGTGCTTTGATTCTCAATTTGTAGCAGAAATAAAATGAATGATCAAGAAAACTAATAATATTTGTAGAAGGTGCCCTTCTTGGCAGCAAAACACCTGATGGTCCATTGTATTCATTTGTTTCTTCCTAATTCAAGTACTATAGTATATTATAAGAATCTCTTTTGTTGTTTCAAGAAAACTAATAATATTTGTAGAAGGTGCCCTTCTTGGCAGCAAAACACCTGATGGTCCATTGTATTCATTTGTTTCTTCCTAATTCAAGTACTATAGTATATTATAAGAATCTCTTTTGTTGTGCCATGTGACTAACACAATGGTGCAATATTCACTGAAGCATACAGGTTTTCAACTTTTTTTTTCTGATGTGGTCTCTTTTGAAATATGACAGATAGTTTTGTCACTTTTGTGACACCTTGTAGATGCGTTGTGTGGCCTTAATTTTAAATCCAGAATATAACACAGGTAGTATGTTTTTATTCTGAAGTATCCACAGAAAATATTGTGCATTTTACTTTGATATTACTTTTAATTATTTTAATGGGTTGTCTCTGTGTTTATTTCAAGTTAATTTCTTAAAATTGTCGCTTCATCTTCTCCCTCATTTCTTCAAGTACAGCAATGAACAATAGACTCAATTTTTTTTTAATTGTGGTGAAGTGTTTGAATCTTGAGACATTTTCCAGATATTGGGGTACATTTTTATTTTAGTTTAAATTGTCTATAAATCGGATTGTCCTCATGTTTTGTTAGCAATAGCATTTCTAAAATTTTGAAAGAAATTTTTAATTTTTAATTCGCAGACTATGAGCTGGAGAGGTCGTTCTTCATTCGCATGAAATGTGTTCTCGCCAAACGGAATGCCGGCCTCACTTCCGGTGGTTACAAGGTGAGGAAGGAGAAAAAAATTCTATAAAATTCTCTTTTTTACAGCATAAAATCGAGAAAAAATTATCAATTTTTTTTTCGTATAAACAGACTTCTTTTGGTTTAAAATTAGTGTTGCAAATTGAAATTTTTAATTTTTCATGTAATTGAATTTGTGTAAAGGACTTTTTGTCTAACAGACTCGTCCCTTGCATGAATAAAATCCGTTAGACGGGGGTTGACTGTACATACAGTGCTGAATTTGAATGTATAAAGCAATAAAATGTTTCAAATGTTGAAGGAAATTTTTAATATTTCATTCGCAGACTATGAGCTGGAGAGGTCGTTCTTCATTCGCATGAAATGTGTTCTCGCCAAACGGAATGCCGGCCTCACTTCCGGTGGTTACAAGGTGAGGAAGGAGAAACAAAATTCTATAAAATTCTTTCCTGCAACATAGAATCGAGAAAAAATTATCAAATTTTTTTTTCGTAAAAAAAAAAAAGGTGATACACTGTAGCGGGTACCTGAAAATGAAGCAATACTCTTTGGACATGTCCCCCCTGGACGGGACTTGTTACAAGAATGTCGGGCTCGTGGCTGTGGGTCATTCCTTGCCCAGTTCCGCAGTCACAGAAATCAAGATGAACTCCAACATGTTCATGTTTCGTGCTAGTCTCGACCTCAAGCTCATCTTCCTTGATCAGAGGTCAGTGATGTTCCTTTCATTTATAAATACTGTATTATAACATTTATTTTTTCCTGAAAAAATAATATTTTATTCAATTTAATTTGGCTGTGAGAAATGCTGCACATTTTTTTCTGGAAAATTGTACTACTTTTGATTTGCCCAAAAAAAAATCAGGTTTAATGGAATTAAACTCTCATTATTTCAGAAAAGATTTTACTGAACATATATTATGCAGTAAACATTAAGAATTTTGATGTACTCCACAGTGTTTCCAGTGATGTACAGTATAACCATTTATTTAACTATGCATTTATTTTAGAATGCATATATGCATTTATTTTTGTAAAAATATATGCATTTATTTTTGTAAAAATATATGCATTTATTTTTGTAAAATGTATGCATTTATTTTTTAAAAATGTATGCATTTATTTTTGTAAAAATGTATGCATTTATTTTTGTAAAAATATACGCATTTATTTTTGTAAAAATATATGCATTTATTTTTGTAAAAATATATGCATTTATTTTTGTAAAAATATATGCATTTATTTTTGTTAACATACAGTATATGCATTTATTTTTGTTAACATACAGTATATGCATTTATTTTTGTTAACATATATGCATTTATTTTTGTAAGCATATATGCATTTATTTTACCTAAAAATATTTTACTCGCATTATTTCTGTGCGAAATACTGTGCTGTACTTCATTCTTCTGGAAAATTGTGTTACTTTTCATTTGCCGAGGAAAAATCAGGTTTTATGGAATTAATCCCTCGTATCAGAAAAGTTTGTTCACATTTCAAAAGCATTAAAAATCTCGATGTAACGCTTTTTTCAAATTGTGTAATGACCAATTTTTGGATCATTATAGAATTTTTTGTGACTTGGTTTCACCTGTGTATATCATTCCCCAGAGATTTCCGATTCATGCAGAATTGCGTTTTTTTAATTACCATCACTAAAGTTAATACCTAATTAATTTTTCGTTTGTCTTTTTTTTTGCACAGGGTTGCTGATCTCACAGGTTTCGAGCCACAGGATTTGATAGAAAAGACTCTGTATCACTACATCCACTCATCCGACATCATGTTCATGTATTATTCTCATCGCACGTGTGAGTATAATACAGTACATTACATATGCATACAGTATGTGTCATGTTGTCCTTGTGCTCGACAGTGTTGTACAAGGGTCAGGTGACTACCAAGTACTACAGATTCATGACCAAAGATGGCGGCTGGGTGTGGATGCAAAGTTACGCTACCATTGTGCACAATTCGAGATCTTCTCGGCCTCATTGCATCGTCTCTGTCAACTATGTTCTGACGTGAGTAAAATTACTGTATGTCATTTTAAACTACAGTGGTACATGCTGAAAGGGGTAGTGAAAAGTCCAGGGCAACACTGTGAACATCACACGCAGAGTATTTTACATTGTGCAGTGAATTGAAATTGAAGGTACTGTAGTACAGTGTGGTAAAAAAGTGACAGTTTCACAGGAGAGTAAAAACTGAACATTGCAAATTAGAGTAAAAAGTGGAAATTTTAAAAGAAAATTGAAAGCTGTAAAATACCATGAAAGCTGAAAGTTGTACAGTTCAGTAAAATTCAGAGTTGCACAAGAGGGTAAAAATTGATAGAAATTGATACTTCTGTTCCTTATAAGATCAAGATGAAAATTGTACCATAGAATGATATTAAAAGTTTCACAGTGAAGTGAAACCTTCCAGGAACTAGTGTTCTAAAATTTTGCCCAGGTTTAATGAAGTAAATTCCTTTAACATCAATTTGATAATATAGGAAGTTGATGTAAAAATATCTTATGTTATGGAGGTTTCAAATGCAACCATTGTTCTTGGGGATTTGGTCAGGAATTCTCTGAAAATTCATGTTAGGGGAAGTTTTTCAATTAGTACAGGCTGATATGGCAAGGTGCAACTGTGTTCTACAGTATATGAATAGTTTATAACAGTGTTCCCCAACCTTTTTGGACCCACAGACCAGCAAATTTTGATATAATTTTCTGCAGACCAGCAGCGTTCTGTAAAATTTTTGCAGACCACCAGAAAAATTTTCAAATGCCTCCCACAAAATCCTTCAAAATAACTTTTATTTCAAAAATCAGGCCAAGAACTAGTGAAGCAGCTATATTGCCATGTTTTCAAAAATTGGAAAGCTGGGCTTTAAAAATAGTTTCCCAGAAGGAAAACTGGAAATGATTTATTTCAGCAGGTGAAAATTATTTTAACATGTTTTTTTAAGGGAAAAGCCAACTTTTATTTTAATCACATAATCTCAATTGCTAATGTCTTTCCAAACCATAAGATGACAGACTTCATTACAACTTCTGATGCATTTCTTGTATTGTATTATGCTGAAAATTTCCTGCAGACCGGCCAAAAAATTTCTGTGGACTGGCACTGTTCCATGGACCATGGGTTGGGGAACACTAGTTTATAACACAAAAAAGTTGATGAATTTGAAAATAACCCATCATGCATTCAAATTTACTTTTGATTAGCATGTCTTTCTGTAAGATGTACAGCCAATTTATTTTTGATAAGTCTTCAGAAGATGTGGTGTAAGCCTGTAGGGTACACAAATAAGTTTGGCATCCACAACTCATGTCCGATCAATTTGATATAACCTATCAATCTCCAAGAGCCTTTAGTGAAGATTAGTTAGAATTGTTAGATCACAGAGCAAACGTCTGGAACTGCTGTTGCTATTTCAGGGGAAAATTACTTGGGCCAGATGGTCCAACAAGAGAACAAAAAATTACAGTACAGTGGCCCCCTGCCTAACAGACCTCCCGTGTAAGGGATTTTTGCCAAACAGACCAGATCTGCAAGCAATTTTTCCTCCCGCCCAACAGACAAAATCCACCAAACAGACTTCTTTTGGTTTAAAATTAGTGTTGAAAATTGAAATTTTCAATTTTTTATGTAATTGAATTCATTTAAAGGACTTTTTGTCTAACAGACTAGTCCCTTGCACAAATCAAGTCCGTTAGACGGGGGTTGACTGTATTGTACTTTCACTTGGAATTGCCCATCTTTACACAGGGACAAAGAGGTAAAAGAGGCCATCCTGACCACAGAACAGCTCCCAAGATCAGAAACAACTCTCATCAACAGTAGCAGCTGCAGCAGCAGCAGCAACAACAAACCGGTAGATGGCGTTAACGACGCCTCATCCTCGGCATCCTCAACATCGTCAGAGGTGTCAACCACAGGGAAATGTGTGCCGCTCGCCACGCCACCTGGCGGCATCCGCACTCGCGGCCCTAAAATGCTCCGCCCCGCCCGCTCCAGTGTCCACGCCCACCTCTTCTCCTCCGCCAATGCCGACTCTGGCAGTGACCAGAGTGACGACGGGGATTCGCTGACGGAGAGCAACTCTGACCTGGAGCTCCGCCCCCATGCCGGGGAAGCCCCGCCCTTGCCCGCGCTGTCTGCCGGTGGACCTGGCGTCACCTATCCGCACCATCAGGAACTAGGGTTCGGAGAGTTGCCACCGGACCTGCCGCAGACCATCATGTTCCCGGCGGATATAGGTTCTGGGTATCCACCTTTGCCCGAGCAGCGGTACATGATCCGGAATGATTTCGCCAATTACCCGGGCTACGGGTCCGGGTACTACCAGCAACCCCTGGTGGTGGACCAGCACCACCAGCCAGTGGCGGCGAATGGTATCGGACACCAACACCACCCCCACCACCACAACCAAAACCATCATCATCAGCATCATCCGAACCAACACCTGGCCCAGCAGCCGCATCATCACCATGAGTATGCGCGGCTGGGCCAGCAGAGGCCCTTCAGCAATGGATCCATTGTTAGTGGGGACTCTGAGACTGACAACAAGAGCTGTGGGAATAATGAGAGTAGTTGCAGTAGCCAGGATGACCTGGAATTGCCTGCCTTGGCCTTGACCAGGTCACTTCTGTGCCCTGGTGGACTGCCTGAGGAACAGGTATGTCATTTATGTTTTTTTTTTTTAATTTTGGAATTCCAATCAGGCACACTGGGTCCCTGCATATCAAATTAAAGTACTCATATACTGTGAGGGTTAATGTCTAATGAAAAAAATTTACAACATGATTTTGTGAGATGAATTGTTTGTAAGCTGGGTAAGAAAAAGTTTAATCTTGAAATTGCGGTAAACATAAAGTTTTTGCCCCTCACCAATTTTTGCTAGAGTGTTTGTAAGCTGGTGCAGAAACTTTAAAAATGTGAAGTTTATTTTTTACTGTTCAGCAATGTATTTACTCAAATACAACATGCACCTTTTCCCCCCAAATTCAGAGAAAATGAGTACTTGTTGATTGGAAGGGTGCTTAGTTTTTTAAAAATTTCAAAGTGCTGGTCATACTTGTGTAGAAATGTAGAGATGTTGTTGAAGCTCTCCTGGTGAAATTTGAAGGGACTGCCAAAAAATTGAATTAAAGATTTTTTGAGTTTGGGATTCAAACTTCACTTCATTTTTGCAGATTGACTAAAAGAAATAATTTTTATCCAATTCATTAGAACTGGTCAGCAATTTTCTACCTGGGGGAAGATGCATAATCTTTTGTGGAGAGCTTAAATAAAATATTTTTTGTTCTAGATGGACGGGCTTTTTAAAATATAGCCCCTATTTTATGACAAAAAGTCCTTGAAATTGGGACTGAGGCAAGTTTTGCCAAAATAATGTGAGTTTGGAAGGCTGAAATCTGATGGGAATTGAAGAAATTGGTCTGGGATTTAAATTAAATTTAAATTTGAGAAGTTTTTGACTGATGAGTGTGGTTCTACATGATAAGGTCCAACTTTATGCATCACATAAACATTGCAACTAACATATGGTAAATAATACTGTAGCAGAAAATGGATTGAACAAAAAATTCTCCTCAGGTTTTGTGAATCAAAAATATCCTGACACCATGCACCTCTTAATGAAAAAAAATAAATTATTCAACCACAATTCAATTGCTGGGATAGAAGCATTAATAACTAAAATGAACTTCCAGTGACCCAATTAGTTTCAATAACAATGATTTCAAGAACCATTTTATGAGTTGAAATTCATGTTCATTGGATGGTTTATTGCAGGTGACAGAGGGCAGACATGCATCCCATGTGGAAAGTATGCAAACCATGGTACCAGTGCCCATGAACCACAGTAGTAGTAGTGGTGGTTTATGAGTTGAAATTCATGTTCATTGGATGGTTTATTGCAGGTGACAGAGGGCAGACATGCATCCCATGTGGAAAGTATGCAAACCATGGTACCAGTGCCCATGAACCACAGTAGTAGTAGTGGTGGTGATCATCATCACCTAGTGACTGTGGCACCACACCAGCTGGACCATCACCACCAGCCCACAACAAATCTTTACCACTTACAGCATTATCATCAACAGTGCCCAGAGGAGCATCAGCAACGTCCTGATGTCCTCTATCCAAGCCCCTACCCACCTATTGACCCCCACCATGTGGTGCATCATGAATATGTGCACTGAAAATTGTTTGTGAGGGGATTTTTTTTCTTTTGTTTTGTTTGTCAGTGGATGTTGGAAGATATTTAAGGTATTACTTGTGTGCTGATGGGAGAAGCTGGAACAAAATGATGAGATTTTTTTTTCTGTTCTGTTGGAACTTATTTTAATCATGTTTTTAATCTTGGTAGGATAATATTGTGTACACTCTAGATTGTGAACAGCTACCATGTATTTCAAGAGAAGGTTCAATATGGAGGCATATGACATGAGCATCCTAGTGATGGTGCATGAGCACTTACAGAGTAAGAAAGCCAACCAACTATTGTCTCTATAACAGTACCATTTACCCCATACAGGGCATTTCAGCTTAATTCTAAAATGCCAAAAACAGAAGCACCAACTTGATATTTGTGAGAAGTTTAATTTCAGCATGGATTACTTAAAATAGTCACACCAATCGCCAATGTTTTGACTTTTGAATTATCTTTGCATTATTGAAGATATTCTGATTCCAATTTACTTCCATAATTGTAATTTTTGTGCAAATTGCCTGCTGTAATTGCATACTGATGTATTTCCACATTTTTTGGCACTGATGAAACATGCAAAAATCTAACCAAAGTAATGTAAGTTTATCTTCCACAGAACAACAAAAATGCTCACAATAATACCCCATAGTCATAGTTTGTAGCACCATTGATAATTCATGAAAAAGTGGAATTTTCTTGAAAAAATGAGAGAAAATTGTATTCTTTGAGAGCAGTTATCATCCTGAAATTATGCTGGAGTATCCATATTTTTGGGTATTCATAAAAACCAAGAATGCAAAAATCCACCAAGAACAATAAAAGTTTCAAACACTTAAGCGGGGAGCTATTCTTTGTGTGAACCCACAACTGGTGCACACTGGGGTCACAACTGGTGTACATGGGCTATTCTGGGGTTACAAGCATGCACGTCTGTTGATTAAATTTTGCAACCATTCCAGAGCTACCTTTGGTGCACAAATGCAACATAACAAGAGTATCACAGGAATGCACCAGCTGTAACCTTGGTGTAACTTATTTGTTTACAACTGTGACCCTGAGTAATCCTGGTGTGAACACACGATTGGTGCACATAAGGATATACATGTGTCAAAGAAGAACTTTGGTGCACAGCAGGGTCACCGTATAGAATTACAGACATATCCCTAGTATGCACCAATTTCCCATCTTGGGTTCACATAAAAAACATGTTGCACCATGTCCAAGCTTATGAGAAGGGACACCAACTTTCATGGCACCATTTTCAAGGCTTGAAAACGTGGCTATTTTATTCATTACACCATTATTGTCAAGTCCTGAAAAAAAGTGGCAACATTTCAAAGGCCTTCCAAAAATTGGCATCACCTTTCTGTGGCCACTTTGTCAAAATCTAGAAAAAGCGGCATGGCCTGAAATTCTGGTGATAAAATGAACAACACCTTCATTCTGTGATTCCAGGCCTCATCACCCTCAAATCTCCCGGCAGCTTCTTATTTCCACCCCCTCGTCCTCCTCTGAAGGGTTGGGGGTTGATGGGGGGTATAAAGGGGGGTGAAATTGGAGCATTGCGGGCAGCAGTTGAAGCAGGCCCTTGTTTTCCTCAAGTGTCCTGGTTGCCAGGTTACGGCACAGCCTCAGAACCCCTCTCTTTTTCCAGCAGCAGGGCCTTGTACCCCCTAGAAAAGGGGGGTTCCCAGGTCGATCCCTTTGGGGATCCGCGACTGACTGTCGCTGATGGATTCCCATCAGGGCCTTGGCAAACAGAGGGCCACACCTTTAAGCTCCCTCGTCGGCTCCCTGCGTTTTCATCCCAAATGTCCACGAGATGCAATTATATACGCGTCTGCAATCAGAAAACACACACCAAGTATTATATACATTTTTTTTGTTGCGTTGAATTAAGTTACGATTTGTTTCATCATCACGGTTTTTTTTCGAGGATCTTGGCAGAAATTTATCGATGTTTTTCGCGAGAACAGTGTTTGACGAATCTTATTGTTGTAACAGATCTCCTATATTTCATCCCAGATACGGAACAGAAAGAAAATAATTCTGCATTAGTTTACTGTACTTCGAAAAAAATCGAAATTTGGGGGTTTTTCAATTTTGATCCACATTCACTCATTGAAATGAAATAATATTATACTCAACATCTCTGGGGCAAGAATAGACCAGGGGTACATTATATTCAATACAATAATAAGTTGTCTTTCAACCCTTTCAGGGGCAACAATGTTTCATAAAGGGATTAAAAACAGAAACAGTTCAAATGTGTAAGGCTTCGTCTATTTTAGAACTTGAGGTATAAATTTTTTGAACGACCGTAGTTCGACTCAAAAGCGTTCAAGTAGAGGGAAGTGACGAAATCATTCGGACGTCGATGAATTGCTGTAGTTCGACCAACGAGGTATGTGGCGTCCTCTGTTAATTGAACAAAAAACTTTGAAGTTGGTGTTCAGATAAGGCACACAAGAGTGCGCATGCATTTTTTGTGAGGAAAACTGGGCAGCGAAAACCCAAGTTCTCCAGCTCTTGATTATAATAATTTTTTGCTTTCCAGGTCAGTAAAAATTGACTAAAAATTAATTTCTAAAAATAAAATGCATTACTGTAATCCACGTGCAGTACTGTACCTTCAATGATGACTTCAGGCAAATTTCTATCAAATGATGAAAATAGAGAGACGCATACAGAAGAAACACTACAGTATAGTAAGTGTTCGGCCAGTATAGTAAATGTACAGTGGTTGAAGGAGGTCAGGTACACTGGTGATAGGGTTGCATTTTCTTCTTGCACAAGTAGGAGATTTGGGAACAGTCACAAGAGTGGCACTCAGCGCGTTGTAGAATGATGGGAGACGGAGCTGCGGAGTGTCAGGAGGTTGTCGTAGTACTGAAGCGTTGTCCCTTTTTGCGCGCTTAAGTGCTGGTGCTGTTGACCCTGGGTCCCGTTAGGTTCTCTTGTGTTTCTGCGGCGGATGTTGTTCCCGGTTGGGGTCCGTTAGGTTCCCCTTGTTTGGTTTGTCGGATGTGCTTCCCCGGTTTGGCTTAGGGTCGTGTCCTTGCGGTTTTATGCGATCTGTGGGAGAGATAGTGTTTGGCAGTAATGTGTTTTCGGTGTTTGTGTTCTTTTTGTGATAAGGATCTCTCACTCTCCCCCCCCCCAAAAAGACGCTTGTTGCCAAGTGCCTGGTTTCATCACCAATTGTTGGCGTGTGCTGGGCCCGTGCGGGGTCGTTGGCCCCCGTGAGTAGGCAGGGCCCGCGTGTCCGATTCCTGACGGCCGTGCAATAAAGGTGCTTGCAGACATGGTCTGCCGTGTCAGAACGGTTGTGTGGCCGGGCGTAGTGGTGTTCTTTTGTCTCTGTCGGCGGTTCCCGTGTTGCTGGTGCTCGGAGGAACTTCAGGTGTTTCTCGTACCCCTGTTGAGGGGCCCGAGTCCCATGCACCCAAGGTTGTAGTTCACATGCCGGGATGATGGCGATGCGAGCATCGGTGCCGACGGTGTACTGGCCTGGCGCATGCAGGAGGAGGATCATGAATGGGCCTAGGCGTCGTTTGCGAAAACATCGGGATGCCGCATGGAGTTCGGTGGATGCGGTTCGTGGGCGTACGGCCACCATATCCCCCGGATAGAAGGTGGGGTGTTTGGCCCAGTTGGCCTGCTGCAGAGATTGCCGCTGTTGTCGTCGGAGATAGTTGGCCACTGCTTCGGTTTTTACGGCGGTTGGCGGAACTGCGCCGAAGTGATTGTCGGCCTCCATGCGTGGATCCTTGCCCAGGAAGACTTTGCTTGGTGTAGCCCCCGTCGAGGTATGTGGCGTGAGATTATATGCTGCCACGGCTGTTGGTAAGTAGATATGCCAGTTGGCACTGTCCCCTTTTGCCAGTTTTGCCTGGATTTGTCCAATGGTGCGAATGGCCTGTTCGCATGTCCCATTGCCCTCCGGTGATTGGCCTGCGCAATGTGTTGTTCGCACCCCGCCTGTGTCACAAATTGGCAAAAGGCACGGGATTTAAAGATTGTAGCGCGGTCCAAGTGGATGGTGCGGAACTTTCCCACTTCCTGTAGGATAGTATGGATGTTGGCAATGGCCGTCGCCGTATCCGCTCGCGGTACTGGGGTGGCAACCAGGAACTTGGAGAATTGGTCCATTGCTATGGACGCGTATTTGTGTAGCCCGGTAGATTGCGGGAGGGGCCCATAGAAGTCGATACAGAGTCGGTCAAACGGTTTTGTCACTGGTATCCAGGTCATGCGTTCTCCTGTGATTTTTGTGCTGTTGTTGTACGCAAAGCATTCGGGGCAGTCCACGAGTTGGCGCCAGATTGTGTGTCGCATGTGTGGCCAGGAAAATCGTGCGCGGAGTGTGTGCAGCACTTTCTTCCAGTGTGTGTGCCCCAGGTCGATGTGGTAGCGTTCTATGACTTCGCGGTATTGTCCCGGGTGTACCGCCAGGCGTAGGTCGGCTGCCTGGATGGAGACCCTACTGAGGGCGTCGGGCGCGTGTAAGGATGCGCCGGGCCGGTATTCGATTCCCCCTTGGTATTGTCCAAGCTTCATTTGCATGCGGATGAGGCGGGAGGATTTGAGTTTGCCAAGGAGAGGCTGGTGGTCCGTTATCATTTGGAACGCTTGGTGCTCCAAATAGTGATGAAACTTCTTTGTTACGGCCCAAACCATTGCAAGGAGCTCGCGTTCGGTGTTTGTGTATCGCGTTTCTGTCTCTGTGAGTACCCGGCTGGCGTACTGAATGATGGCTGGCCCGGTTTCGGGGTGTACCTGGACCAGGACCGCCCTGAGGCTTGTGGCAGAGGCGTCTGTGTGCACTTCAATAGGTTGCTGTTCGTCGTAGCGTTCCAATCGAGCTGCGTTGGCGATCGCAGTTTTCAGATCGTGAAACGCGGTCTCAGCCAGTGTTGACCACCGGAGGGTCATGCTAGGTTTGGCGGGGATGGTGGTGCGCAGCACTTTCTCCGCCGTAGCAAAATTGAGGGGCACATGGGCCCGTAGATATGTTGCAAGGCCTAGGAACCTCTGCATCTCTTTTGTGGTGCTAGGACAAGGGTATTGCTCCACCGCGGTCAGGTTGTGTGGAGCTGGCCGTGCGCCAGTTTGGTCGATGATTAGTCCCAGGAACTCGATCTGGGTGGCAAGGAAGGTGGATTTGGCAATGTCGATAGCTGCCCCGGCCTCGTCCAGGGCTGTAAGGACGTCCTGGAGGTTTTGGCACACCGTAGCGTAGGTGTCGCCGAAGACGATAATATCGTCAATGTAGGCTAGGCACTTTGTTAGGAGATGTGGCCGCAGGATAGAGTTGATGGCGCGTTGGAACAGTGCTGGCCCATTCCGTAGTCTGAAGGGCAGTACCGTGTACTGCATCTGTCCTTGGGGTGTCAAGAAGGCCGTCTTTGGGCGGTCTTGGGGCACAATGGGCAGATGGTGGAAAGCGCTGTGTAGATCCACTGTGCAAAAAACGTGTTGCGTCGGCCCAGGGCATCGATCAGGTCCTGGATTATTGGCATCAGGTAGTTGTCCTGGACTAGCAAGGTGTTGAGTTTTTGGTAGTCCTCGACGAGTCGCCATCGCTGTCCTGCGGGGGCATCCGGTTGTCCGTTTTTCTTTGGCGTGAGGAACGCCGGTGAATTGTAGGGGGACTTCGCCGGCTCAATGATGCCGGCCTGGACGTATTCCGCGATGATTTCCTTGAAAGGCGCGAGTTTGTCCGGCGCTTGGCGGAATGGTGGGGATGCTGGCGGTGCCCCGTCTGTGGTGTCCAGTGTGACGGTGTACTTGGGGAGGCATCCCCATCGTCCGGACCATTGGAAGACGGCGTCCTGATGCTGGAGCAGGATGTCGCGGATTCCCCGTTGCTTGTGTGTCGTACCATCGACAAAGTGTATGCCATGGCCTGCAATAAGGGCTGGCTGGGCCTGTCGTTTGGAGTTGTAGCGGTAGCCGACGTACAGGCGGTTGCCTTCCAGGCCAATTGTGAGGGGTAACTGGCTCATGAGGTTGCGTCCCACGATGATGCGGTGGGCTGCGAGTTGGAGTACCCAGAGTGGCGTTGGGTAGGGTCACTCGTGTATGACCAGGTCCACCTGCACTTTGGCGGTGATGAGGATTTTGGTTGTGTCCGCGGTGGACACTGTTACGTCCGTCGGTATATAGGACAGTCCCAAATGGGTGGCCCACTGATGCTCGATGAAGGAGTGGGAGGCGCCGGTGTTGATCATCGCGTCGCACTGTTGGTTGCCGATGGCAACGCGGATGAGGATGGGGTCTGAGGCGGTTGCGACAGTGTTGAGGAAGCAGAGCGCCGCCGTGCCTACTCCCTCCGTCCGTTTCCTGTCTGCTGGGTACATTCCTTGGCGTGGTGTCCGGTTTTCTGGCAGGTTGCACACGGTAGCACTCTGCTGGCAGTAGCTCCGTCGGTTTTCTCCTTGTCGTCGCGGTCCCGTTTTGTGTAAGCAGGGTGCTTGGTTTCGCGGAAACGGGCCCTGCATGTGTCCGTTGTGTGTCCCTGGGACCGATGCCCATCGCAGTATAGCTTGGTTCCCGGGGACGCCCGGGGTGGGCGGTCTGCTTGTGGTTTGGTGTTGGTTGTGGGTCCGGTCCCTGTGTCCAATTGTTCGTCCAGCAGGTTGCGGATACTGTTGGCCAGGTAAGTTAGTTCGTCCCACTGGATGTCCGGTTTTGTATTCAGCTTTGCTCGGAGTTTGTCGGCAATTCGTCCATCCGCCACTTGAAGGAGCTGTTTGATGAGCATTGGATGCATCACGTGAAGATGATCCGGGGTGACGTCGTCAGGTGCCAGTTTGAGGAACAGCTGATAGTTGTCCTGCAGTCGTTTGGCAAAGCATCGGTACGTCTCATTGCTTTTGAGTTGCAGCTTTCGGAATCGGCGCAGACGTTTGTACTGCAGTGTGGGATGGAAACGGGTGATCGCTTTCACCATTTCTTCAAAGGTGCGGGCCCCCGTGGCATACGCCCGTCGTGCGGTGTTGGAGACATTGCGGGACGTGTTGTGGATGAGGCAGCGGACTTTGTTGTTGTCGTCGACGTTGTTGATGATCAGTAATTCCCAGAGCCGGATTGCGTAGTCTTTGAAGTCTTCGTCCGCGCACTGTTTTGGCAGGTCGGGTGCCCGGTGATTGTGTACGCATCGGGATGGCGGTGGCGGTATGCGGGGCCCTGGCAGGAGACCGGTGTGCCCTGCTTCGTCATTGTTGGATATCTGAAACATGAGTAACGTTACTGGTGAAATCTGTAGGTTTTCCAACAAGGTGACGTAGCTGGTTTTTTCTCCTGTCAGGGGCCTTTCGGCCACGTAAGTCTCCGTGAAGCGTTGCAACGTCTGGAGGGATATGAAGTCCCATGGATGCGGTGTGGAGGTGGATGAAAGCGCGCTGGGCGGCCTGCCCAGCGCTGTCGATGATGCGTTGGAAGAGGCGTTCTCCGCAGAGGGCCCCGGGAGGTCTGTTGGTGGCACAAGGGACGCCGCACATGCTGTTTGCAGTTGTGCCAGCTCGGTGGCAGCACGTTCCGCGGCGCGAGAGGTCTCAGTGTCACGTGGCATTGTTGGTTTGGTCAGGGATGGGTTCGGTTTTCGGTTTTTTGTTGGCAGGACAAGCCCCCAGTAAGTGTTTGGCCAGTATAGTGAATGTACGGTGGTTGAAGGAGGTCAGGTACACTGGTGATAGGGTTGTATTTTCTTCTTGCAGGAGGTTCGGGAACAGTCACAAGAGTGACACTCGGCGCGTTGTAGAATGATCGGAGACGGAGCTGCGGAGTGTCAGGAGGTTGTTGTAGTACTGAAGCGTTGTCCCTTTTTGCGCGCTTAAGTGCTGGTGCTGTTGACCCTGGGTCCCATTAGGTTCTCTTGTGGGCACTTGTACACGAGAGGTGACCCACCGAAAAATCCACGCGCGTCATACAAATGTGACATCTACCGGCAAAATGAATCCCCTATAGTTTAAACCCTCTTCTCCAGCAACCCTGGCCAGACTCCCAGATACAGTATACAACGCGCGTTCATAATCACGATGCAAGTTCATAATCACAACAAATTATGAGCAACTTTTCATCTATTCCTTGGCATTCTGCAGAAACCAACTTTGGAGGCGGTTAGGTAAAGTTAGGTTAGGTTAGTTTATGATAGTTAAAAGATATATTTTTAACCAACATAAACTAACCTAACCTAACTTTACCTAACCGCCCCCCAAAGTCAGTTTATCTTTTCTGTGGGAACTGACTTTGGAGGCAGTTAGGTAAAGTTAGGTTAGGTTAGTTTATGACCCAGTGGATAATTTGGGC